GAACAGAAAAGGTGGTTGAATAGGGGCTTTCTAGCAGGAGCCACTGCCCTTGATCTGTAGTCTCCAAACTTTGCTCTTTCTACCTTACTTTTCTTTCTACAGCTGTGAAAGGTGCAGCAAAATGAGTAAAGGCAGCTGCAAGAAACAGCAACAAAAGAAGTAATAAATGGATGTGAGGAAAATGGATTCTGTAAAGCACTGGCTATAACTAAGCTTTAGCTAAACTTCATTTGGCTGTTTATGTTTAGATAGAAACACTCTTCAGTATTTCTGTGGTTAAGGAATAGGAAAAAAAACTTACTTGAATGGTGTGTTTTCAGGTTCAATCATTGCTTTATTGCGGAGAATAGCTGGTCCTGCACCTACTCCAGGGTCACTAGGATAGGTATTGATGTAGTTTGGTGGTGGGCCTTCAAACTGGTCCATTCTATCTTGAAGAATCTGTTCCCAATGTTCCAGATTTTTTATTACAGCAATGCCTAATGGTGATGTTACAGGCAGATCTGAACAGAAATATTAATAAAGGCTTAGAGAAAAAAGGTCATATAAGTTACGGTGTGTACAAAAAAGTAGAGCAATACAACCGTTCAACAAAAAGTTTAGCAGAAACACATTTCTTAACAACTGTTTAAGAATGTTTAAGTTATGTAAATTTTAAAATAAAAATTAAACAATATATTTAAAAGCGAAGTCTGACAGAAAGCCACTTACACAGAGAACTAAAACGTGAAGTAGAATTTAACTTACCATTAAATTCCAGACCAGCAATGGGAAAGAAGTTCCTAACGTTGTGCAGAACTAATTTTACCATTGTCAGATGCAGAAGAGCCCAGCTATATAAAAATAACAGTTGTGTTAAAGCAACAGTAATATGGTTATTGGCAAAACAGTTTTCTCTCCTTCTACCAACTATGCAGATCAGAAAAACAACTCAGGGAGGTCACTGAATTTTTTGAGTTTAACAGACACATATGGCAAGATATGTACACATCAACTATCAGAGTTAAGGCCATCTCTGAGGGCTTCCCCCTGTAACAGCAAGTATCCTTCGAACAGGTAAGCATGATATTGTAATTCTAAAAGAATGGCAATTTCTTCTAACCTGTAAGAATTTGCATCTTTGTGTTCCTGAATCTGTATGTCAGAGAGAAAAGCATCATCCTCTTCCTCATCACTGTGAATGCTTTCATCAGAATCATATATAACACCACTGTCTGACAGAGGAAGAAATGGCTGCAATGCAAAATAAAAGTCTGCTATAAAAATAGTTTTCTGATCTCTTAATGCACATACCTTTAACTTTACTTGTAATTTATACTCTTTGTCTATGATAACAACTTAACATAAATAAGGTTCTCTAAAAGATACAAGTATCAAGGAGAAAAGTATTAATCTGTATTATTTGCAAGAACCATATTTTTAAAGTTAGGAAATAGCTCTAAGACAAGTCATAGAGCTCTTTACCTTTTATTGAGATGATAATATTCTGCAGCTCAGTTTGAAGAGCACTCAGAATTTCCACACTATTTTTGCCCTTTACAGCTTAAATGAGAAGAAATAAGCTTTTTACAAACCCCGACGTATTTTCCATTCTAAATTACCTTTGCCATAAAGTAGTCCCACATGCTGAGTTCTGGAGGGATAAACTTTTCTTTGTAAGAGGGTCTCTCTGCAGGTACCGGCGGAGGCACAGTGGTGTCTTTCACAGGCCTTCCAGGCACTAGCATTCTCATGTTAAAACGGCGACGATGTTTGTCCATTTCTTCTGAAGGAAGAGGTGGTGCTAAATTCAGATAATTTGAGAAGCTGATATTAACACGGCATCTTCCAAAGTGGCTGTATTTTATAACTGAAGTAGCTAAAAGCACTATTACCGGTACTAACTTCTACCAACTCAGGGATCAAAGCCAGCCTGTGTAAGTGAAGTGTAATCATGCAGAAGGTTCAGTTAAATTCAGTAGCTGTGGCAGTTACACGTTGTGTATATAATGAGAAATTCATTTCGTTATCTGGGTTGAGTTTTCCAGGAGACATGGCTTTGAATTAAAGGGCATTTTAGATATTTTTTTCTCAAATTAAGAAAAAATTGTTAACTTGTTAAGAAGTAGGTATAGAAAATTTCACTGATCTGTAAATAGCACATGTAGCAGCAGTTGTTCAAAATACAAGCCAGATAGTAGAGAAGATAGTAAGATAGTAAAGAAAATTTGAATAGGGCAAGTCTTTTTGACAAATCTATTAAGATTCAAAGGATCTTAATAGTTATCAAAATACAACTGTGAAATTTGTTCTCCAAGGTGTTATTGGCAGGCAGCGCTGAAGATTACACTTACTTTGTTACACAGGACCTAAATACTTAAAATCAGTTTGTTTTTCTTAGAAGCCACTACTACCATTCATCTACACAGCAAACTTTTACACACCTTCATTACCATCCTCTGAAACATCAGAAACTGTAGCAGCTTGTAGGATAAGGAAAACAGAATATATCTCCGATGAAAACAAGGCTTATATATGTAAGCTGTTCATAATAATACCCTGTTAAATCATTGATCACTCCTAAAATGATTATTCTCACATGTCCTTAAGTTACTCCATAAAAGAGAAATATGTAATGCATTCGTGTGATGGTCTGTTTCAGAATGTTAACTGACCAATGGTGACACGATGATAACGTCAGCAATGACAGCAATGATCGTGACTAGAAGATTAGAAGCAGTGTTTACATTATACCACCTTAGTACTGTTTTGCTTTGTATTTTATATATGAAATATCTATTTTCTGCATAAGAATTTTCAAACCTGTAGTTTTTAAAGCCAATGTGTCAGAATTTTCAGAATTGTTGCAGTGAAATTATTGGGCAAACGGTTTCATTTACACCTATCTACTGAGCCTGGATTCAGCCTTCACTTCTCAGCATAGTAAGACAATCTCATCTGTCTGAAAGATCCCTGCTTTTAGTTGGAGCTTAGCTGTGTATGAACTATTTTTCTGTCAGATGAAGCTGTTACTTCTGGCACATGGTGAAATTGTATCTTGCAGTAGAAACAGTTTCAGAAATACTGCTTCCAAATTACTGTAACCGTTATACAGCACCACCCGTCACATACAGGAAAACACAGGTATTAACACTGATTTGTTCTACCTGCTTTTTCACACAAAAAATAATGGTTGAAAACAATGGAAAGTGTTATAAACAAGCATCTAATAGGAGTAACATAAGGAAATATACTATCCTGAGGATGATTTCTGACTCAGAATGTCTGAATTAAAATTGTGTTATTATAAACTTATTTTATTTGCCTAGCTTAATACCAAATGTGAGTTTGAGTGACCAGAGTTCTGGCAGTGCCATTCTAAGTACTGTTGGGATGTGTATTAGGAAAAGTAATGGTGTATACTAGTAATTCTGAAATGTTTATGCTGGGAAATACCCATAGCATTCCACATGCAAGTTGCTTATCATGCATCTGGGGTATAAGTTCTGCATCACAGCACTGACTCCATCACTATTTGACAGTTAGTCAATGTGATGGCTATTTGTTAATGATATTACGCTTGATATCTTGCTGTTTAAAGCACTTTGTTTTACCTCTGACTGACAAATTTTTCATTATTGTTTTACAAAGATGGAAAGGAAAAGGCTTGCATTTGGGAAGATACACAAACACATACACTCCAAGTAAACTATTTTGAGTGTAACAATAATTAAATGCAGAGATCATTCTATCTGTATTCTAAGTGGATACTAAAGAAAACAAAACAAAACAAACAAAAAATCCTCTACCTCAACAACATTCTTGTTTCTGTTTTATTTTTTTGGGGGGGAAACAACAGTCTTGTCACAAAGAAGATGAAATCTGTATTCTTTAATCTAACAATTACTCAGACAGAAGTCTTCAAGTCCCGAATTAAAATAAATGCAGCTATCAAAAAGAGCAGTTAAGCTGTAATTGTCAGATTAAAGGGCTACATTTTGAGTAAAAATACCTGTACTGTTTCAATGGAAAATTCAAATCATGCTAGGTGTTATCATAAAGGACAGTCATGATAAAAAAAAAAGTGAATTTCTTTCTGCTTTTTAATTAATGTTACAATTTTCTTGCCAGTTGATACTTAAATTGTGTTTCCTTGTTTTTTTCTAATCTTTAAAGAAAAGAAATCTCCCCTACTGGGTTACTAAAAGGTCTAAAATGCAGATCGTTAGTATGACCTTTAGAAAACAAAATACCTGGAATATTTTCTGATTGCCTTCGAGGCTTTACAAGAAGTTTCACTCCTCCACCAAAAACAGCAGCCCACATCCGGCTGTTCAGAGGATGAGCTGCCAGTCGGAACAACTCGTTACATGAGTTGGTTGCCAGGGCATGGATCAGCAGACTCAGGTAAACAGCTACAACAGCTTCGCAAAGAAGGACGTTTAACTTTGGTTGATCTTCATCCTGAGCTGAACTTAAGAGATTTATCAGTGAACTCACACCTGCAGAGAGGAGAGGAAAAGCTCTTTGTTAATTACAAACAGGGAAGAGTTCTGTGTTGCATCTCTGTCTCTTTTGGTGCACACATACTAATAGCCATTTGAAACTTTTGTTCTGATATATCAACAATTATGATTTTTTCTTAGACTGAACAAAAAGATTTCTGAATTGTGCTTCAGATTGCTTTGCTGCACTGTTGGCCAGAGTTGACCTCACAATATTACCTCTCTGCTAGTATGTGAAAAGCAGTTGTTTTGATGGCTACAGCAGGAAAAGCAAATATGTAAGACAGTACTGTAGCTGCAGCTAACAGAAACTGCTATGCTCGAGGGTGACACAGACCAGAAAAAAACATCTTAGGATGACAAATAATCAGCTTAGAATTTATCCTGAAGATTCTGATCTCTTCCTCAAGTAAGACATTTGCCATATAAAAAGTTTCGATTTTTGTTTTGGTCTGTGAGGAAGCTAACGGCTGTTACATGTGAAAGCTAAATTTAAAACAGTTATCCATCATTGTTCACCCATCATTTCTCTATATTCGCATGAAAAATTGCCATCAAGTTGTACTGTAAGTTATGAAGTTACAGAGCAGTGAAAAAAAATTTGAAGTGGAGCTTTTCCAGACATGTTAAAAGTAATTTATTTTTGTCTCACCAGGCCACTGAGCAGGAGATGAGTTTGGAGTTGCATGCTCTTCAATACTCTCTGTCCTCAGTCTGCGACGATCACTCAAAAGCAGTCCTTGATAAACCATCCCTGTAAACTGATTTGCTTCTGTTTGGCTGCTAAATACAAATAAATTTTTTTCTGATGAGAAAGGATTTCAGAACATTTTTGCAATAAATACAGTATATAGAAATGCTTCTCTTTTTAATCAGAAAATGCAATATTTAAAATTCTACAGGACTACAATTTCATATCATAGTATATACTTTTTAAATTAAAACTTGTTATGTTTTTACAGCCAATTTTGGTTTGAAACAAGAACTGTCCAAAACCTGACTTCATTTAACCTCAAATATTTTCCATGCAGTCCCACCCAGCAATGGATATACTGTGGAAAACAGCACTCAGACGTTCTTTTTGAAGCATCCTAAGATTGATACCAGATTTTCCTCCTTTCATTGGAAAAAAAAGATTGTTATTATTTTATCTGTGTGAAACTGGCAGGGACTATCAGAACTAATGTGTGGGTTGCATAGTTATCTATACATACATAGCAATTGAATCTCTTTGCTTAGACACAGGCAGAAAGAATTTCTAAATATTCTTCAAATGTAGGACTGTAAGAAAGAAATTCTATTTGTACCTGTAGCTGTGGCTGTCACACAGTGCTTGATAAATGGATGCAGAAAGGGAAGCTGCTAAAGAATGAAGAGTGTACACCTAAAATGAAAAGAGCTGGTAAGTTCTATGTAATTTATACACAAAGGTATGTAAACCACACTTCCTTCTAAACAGTTTTTGAAACGTGTTATGCCAGAATGTCCCAGTTTTAAACTACAGTCAGGAAATAGCAATTAAAAAATTACTCTAATACAGACCTCTCACAGGGTGAGTATACTGAAGAAGTGATTAAGTCCTGTTCTAACAGTGATTTCTATAGTCTGATTGGTTCCTGGAAACAATATAATATAACATCATAACTCATTATAGTAGTATTTGCTTTATATGCATGATACAGAAGTTTGTGTAATCATCATTTAATTATTTATAATAGCTTTTTCACCTCATTTACGTGCTTAAAATTTTTCAGGACTCTCCCAGTAACAAGAATATTACTATTATGAGCTTACAATGCAGCAGAAACACTCCATTTCCTAGAAGAAGAAATGCAAGGATTTCTTGGAAAGACTGATGGAGGCCAAACTGTGTTGAAAATGGTACTGCCAACTGTTAAAAAACATGAATGCTTTTTAACATTCTGCTCATTTCCATCTCTTCCTACTGTCTCTCTATTTAATGAGATGCCATACCTCAGGTTAAAGATACAAGTTATCTGAATAGTTGATTACAGTTAGGAAGCGTCAGTTCTTTCTGACTTTCCTTTCAAAGGAAAATGCGTGTGGAATAAGAGTTTTTAGAATAAGAATGATACTTAATGTGGCATAGTGCAGGATGGAAAAGGAGTCAACTAATGTAAAGAAGTAAATGAGCGTGGGTTGCAGTTTACAAATTGGTAACTAACTACCAATGGGACGGTCCACTTAGTTTATAGCTTTCACCTACTTTCATTTACTCAATAGAAATTTAAGTGAAATTTAATGAATGTGAATACTGATAAAAATGTACAAACCAATGATCTAGATTTTTACTGATTAACTGTTGTATAGTCTCAGGAAATATGTTTCCCCAATCCCCTCTATTTTATGAACAGAATTTATTTACTCTAGGATATGGGGCCAGATAAAGTAATTAATCACAATTACATGGAAATCAGTACAATCCATGCTGGACTAAGATTTATAACTACGGTATAAACAGAAGGTTACAACGTACCTCATAGCTTCCACCTCTACTTTCATTAATCTTCCCACCAGATTTGACCAGGATGATGATAGTTAACATATATGATCGTGATGTAAGAGTAACAATTCAGTGCTTTAGTGAACATCTGAATTTAGAACAGCTTCTCAAGAATGACTGAATTATTTGGATGAAAGGGAACTAAGGAGATTCCAAAAGGTGTCAGAAATCAAGTGGTTGGTTGACTACCATTTTCAATTCTCTAGATTTTAGAAAGGAGGTCAATATTGTGAGAAGGAGTAAGAGTTGAAAATTAAATACAATTTTAGTGTATTCTCACCATTTTGTAAACAGTCAGCATTTCTTACAACCTGATTTCATTACCTTGACATCTTCAATATTAGGATGTGGTGGTGATTTCATCTGCACAATTGTGTAAAGAATATCATGGATATGGTTGTTTAAATACAGCACAGGATTAGCTATCACAGTTTTTGTGGATGCTATGCTTGCAGATAGCAATGGTAGTGTTGTGGGCAATGGAAGTGGCGACTGAAGCTGTTTTACAGTAGTTTCCTGTTTAAAAGAAAAGATTGCACTTAAGATGATTACTTTGAGAAAAAAATAATAATAAAACAGTAATTTACTTTTTTTTCCTTTTTTTCCCCAGGATTATTTATTCTCTTCTACTGCTGTCTACTCAGTACAGACAAGATTTCAAAAGGATGGATGTTAAAAGTAAGTTCTGGGACTGGAGCCACTTCCATGATTTATTCCAAGTCACAGCATTTGCTCTGATTAGTCTCTTACATTTACTGTAGAAAATGCCGTAATACAGAAAAGGGAGCAGTATGCTGACTAAGACTCTATTCCTTACAGCTCCTTGCATGACATGCAGTGATGTAGGGAAAGAGATTTTATCATACTTAATCTGAATTTAACTTGTTATATGGATACCCAAAATATAGTGATCAAAACTATAATTTCAATATACATTTAAGTCTGTAGTACATAGAGCAATATTTATATAATTACAGGTAGCCTAATCCTCCGGCAGATTCTGAAGAACCAAATAGCCAGGATGCGGATGCACAGAAAGCTAGAATAGTAAGTTCTTGCCTGAAGAACATTAGAATTGTTTAGCTTAAGGTACAAATTTAAGCATTTGATAAAATTGACAGACTAGAACTGTTCAGACTCGTAAATACAAATCAGCTGAATTTGTTTTACCTGCTGTGACTCTTGCAGCAAAAATTTCAGCTCCATTCTTACAGATGCTAAACCACCTCCTTGTGCCCCATGGAGACTACAATAACTTAGAAATACTCGTAGAAGAGCTTGGTTCTTCTGCAGCCACCACTTTCGTCTTTCAGCGTGTTCTCGTTTTGCCTGTAACCTACGCCTTTCTATCTGGTGCCGTTCATAGGAACCAATGTCTGGCTTATCCATAACATTCTCATGATCAAGTAGATCCCCATTTACTTTGGTGTATGTTTTACAGTAATCTTTGCCACCTGCTTCATGGTTGCATATTTCATGCATGGCAGCAATCTCTTTTTCAAGCCAGTTGTACAGCTGAAACCTGAGCTTTCCTCCATCTACTTCATAACCTGTAGCCAAAGTCCTCAGTTCAGTCATTAGGATCTTCAAACAGGCTCTGAACTTCAGTTGTTCAGCAATAACATCAACCTCAGTGTCTCCAACATCAGAAATCTCTCCATGTAGTGTCTGTGGGACGTTACTGTCTGGGGTTTCATCTTGTTCTTCACTCTTGGAAGCAGATTTTGAATTTTTCATAATTATACCAACATCCTTGTCTTCTTCATCTAATTCATTTTTGTCTTCACCCCAATCAAGAGTAAGAGGCTCATCATCAAATTTTACTGCTGGTTGACTCCAATCAAATTGTGTTGAAGACTCAGCAGTATCCTCCAAAGCAAAGGAAGCTGAAATTGGCTTTGACCAGTCTATATCACCACTTCCAGCACCATCCCTTAAGGCTTTGGAATCTGAAACACCAGCCTGCATTGGAGGACTAGATGCATCTTTCTCTGTAGCTACAGCAGATTTTTTTCTTACTTTTGGGATTTTGGAAAGAACTTCAAGAGCTAGCACAGGACAACCCACTTTAAAGTGAGCATTTGCAGTAGTGAAGAACAATTTTCTTTCTATAAGATTAATTTTATCAACAAAACTTTTCTCAGTTTTTAGACCTAAGGTGGCCAAAGTCCCTTCTGGTGAGCTGAAGTATCTTCGGATCAGCAAAGGATGGGTCCGAAGATAATTGTAAAAACTGAATACCACAGGATTGCATGACTTGACAATAACTAGGGAATTAAACAGATGAGACGTTTATTGACAATGGATTTCACGTGTTATTTGCAGTATTTCCTGCATTACAAAGATTCAAAATGCAAAAACAAAGACAGTCTAGTTGCCAAAACAAAGCAAAAGAATTACTTATTCCCCACAAAAACATTAAAGATGTAAGCCGGATGAGTGGAAACATGAAGGTCTCACATCTGCTTTGTTACTGTTTCACCAGCTAAGCCTAAAATAATCTGAGAAGACCAGCCAGGTAGATTTAACTAGTGCAGGGAACATACTACAGAAATCAGCGCATCCAATTCTCCATCATTTAACGTTAATCTAGCAAGAGATTGCATAGGAAGCCCTGCTTTTGAGAACTGCTAATTCCTAGAAGCAAGAATGCGAGTCTGAAGTTGATTAGAATAAAAATTAGCTACCATTAAGTAGAAGAAAGGTATTGTAGGAAAAGTAAGAAAAAGTTAGGCCCTCCAGAGTTTATCTGACTTATTAGACTTTATCTGAGCTTATTAGAACTAAGCTCAGTACTGGACACTGGAAAGAAGCCTGTGGAAGAAACTGGAAAAAAATATTTTTTCCATAAGAAACTGAGTGGGCTAGTACATAAGCCTATTAATAATTTCAGCATCATAACATCTCAAGAGAAGGGACTGCATACATAAACAGAAAACTTTACCCCTTCTCTACTATGTCATAGAGAGTTTGATCCAGTAGACAGTCTTTTTTTTCCTTACCTGGGTTTTCATCATCATCTTTTGGTGTTTGCTCCAATAAAGTGTCCAGTGCTCTAGTGTAATCTTTCATTATCCAGTAAGCAATACTTCTCAGAAAGGGATCAGAATGCAATTTAGTACAGCTGAACCCAGTACCATCCTTGTGGCAACCCAAAATCTTTTCATAAAGAATGGAGGTGTATGTGACAGAGGTTTCAAACTCTGATTCATATAAGCGAGCAATAACCATAGCCAATTGGATGTCTTCCATTTTCTCCAGGCACACCTGTGATAATAAGTGGGGGAAAAGGTCTCTTTTGAGGGAAAGTTTTTTTTTTTAAATGACAGTGAACAGCAACATGTTTACACAATAATTTTTTACACAATACATTTTTTTCCTTATGATATCTGATCTTTAAAGTATATGTTAATCTTTGAATCAAAAGTATGTTGAGATATTTATAAGTGCCATGTTTTCTTCCATGTTTGGAAAGAGGTGTACTTCTATTGTAGCGATTATAGTATGCCTCAGTACATCATGTCAAAAAACAATATATCAGATAGAAATATAAGGATGTTTTAGCTAGTGGAATAAACCTAGCTTCCAACTTTAACATTTGTACATAACTGGTAAGATTTTCTTCCACTGACTCATCTGCAGAATAATGTTTTTGAGCCTTTACATTCTCAGGTAAAGACACACTGCATAAAACAGGCAAGATAAGTAAAAGTTATCTAATTCCCTTCTCTCCTAAGATATACTGCTTAAATTATGAACTTGCTGAGAACTTTCACCTTCCTTTTGGCAGTTCCACACCACAACTCCACTAAAAAAGGATCCTTCAGAAGATCTTTGTTTGTTTGTTTTGATTCTTTGTGTTTTACTTGATGTTCTAACAGTAGGGACTGCAGAGTAGCTAGAAGCTGAACAGAGTGCTACAACAAGCAAAACAAAGCTTCATCGGCAGGGTCATGATTGCTTTCTCAAGAGTCCTTCCACCGAGGACTCATGTATCTGAACATTCATTCTGGTCTTCAGATCAGATTCCAAGTTTTTTTTTCACAGTAATGTGGAGGTAAATGCCATGTCTACAGGGTTCCATGTGTAGACATACCCTTTCTGCTTCCACACTTTACAAAAAGATCAGCTGATCAGCTTTTAAGGGTGCAGTTCCATAGTTTAGACTAGAAACTAAAATTTAATTTCTCAAAAATTAATACCTCTATTGCATCTTTCAGTGAACCTGCCAGCAAGAAGAATGCAGCTGATTGTTCAAAGCGCTGTTTTCCCAACAGAGCAAAAGCATTTTTTAAAGCAGCTTTTCGCCATCTGTCTTCACTGAAGTTGTGGCTGAAGAAAGCAGTCATCTTTTCATCATGCTGAGACCTGCATAAAGAAATGCAAGGTACACAAGTTTTTATTACATAGCCTTAGGATACAGTCACTTGAACAGCACCAATTAAACTCTAATCCTGAATGAGTTCTGTTTTGCATTCCTGGTTCAAATATAATTTAATCAAACTTATAGTCAGAACTCACCTAAATAGACCCCACACCACTGCCTTTTTCTTCATAGCAAGGTAAAAAAGTGCAGCATCTAAGGCATCATTGTTCCTCTGGAATGAAGCTTTTGCAACCTGTAGTAAGCAAAACCTACTATTACTAGTGAAAATATAAAGCGTGCTTTTAGCTTAAGAACATATGTTCTCTGCTGGGAGGATGCTCTGAGTGACTGCATTATTTATAGAAAGCAACAGTAATTTCTTTCTGAATGACTTGCAAGAATTAATTTATTGACAGGGGACAGCAGCTCATTACACTGTTAATGTTCCTGTGGTTCAGAAAAAACAGCACTACTGCACATATTAATGCCCTTCCTCAGCAGGATGTTACAGCTGTGCAAATAAAAATGTTTTTCTCAAAAGTTACAGTAGCTCATAGTATTGGGTGAAGTTCTTCTTGTGACCAATTATTTCCAAATTTGCAAGCTAATACAAATATTTCCTTAGTGACCATTCTGGGTGTTTTTCTGTGTAGGACTCAAGAGATGGAATCGCATCAGATTTGGATGACTAATTTAGTTTTACATCACATGACTTAGAAATTCAGTAAACTATCGGATATTTCTGTTCCACAAACATCTGAAAGGCTACATTATTTGTTGTAATTCAAAGCAAGGAGCAGTAATAAATCAAATCCATCAAACTTGGTAAGAAAGCTGAAATTTTTATTAAAGTAAGAATTTAAATCTCATTGGTACCTACGGGAAACATTATAAAATAATATTGAAGCACATACTGCATGTTATCTACTATTAGAGCTCCCATACAAACTGCATGAAAATGAGATCTGACGCTACTTTGTGTTAGAAATAGTTATTTCTTAAATAAATAAGACCCACATCTGAACTCAAAATGTAATTCCTTGTTTAATCTATTGATATGTGCTGCCACATATCTAAAAAGAAATGACTCTTCACAAAATAGAGTAATGCCATGTTAAACATACTATAAAATATAGGGGAAAAGATTAAATGCTTCAAAAATGGCTTTTTCCTAGCTCAAACATATTGCATGATACTGCTGATTTATAAGCCAGAACTGCCAACAAGGTCTGACAGTACTGCTATTTGGAAGCGGGCTATGTAAGAAAAAACTAGTTAGCCTTCCAGCTGGTCTGGAGTACAAGAGAGTCTGCACAAGTTACCTTTTTTGTTAAGGCATATCTAACAGCATATAATTATAATTTATAAGCAATTAGAATACCTTCTCAATGCATCTTCGGAGCGTGTTGATATTCCTGACCCACCAACCTATACCCATAGCTCTTAATTCAGACCACTGTGGGTCTCCCTTCTGGATAGCAGGGATCATGTTGATCAGCTCCTCCTCAGCCTCAGAATGAAAAGCCCATGCAAAATGACAGGTAGATAGGCCTAAACAGTAACATAATAAGATTCAGAAGATTAATATTCATTAATAAACAAATGGAATACATCAGAGATGCAAAATGGAACCTCTGCAAAGAGTGTTGGTAGAGAGGGATGTTTGTTGACAGGAAGTAGAGCTGTTCAAGGTGAAGTCAAAACATCTCCCAGTATATGTCCTCTCTTCAATGCTTCTATTCTTTTCCAGCACCCCAATCATATACATACTACAGTTTTGTATGGTGTAAAACAGCAGGAAAACATTATCTCAGAGGCAGACTTATTCTGGGCCGGAAAACTTTCTGTACACTGTTGAGGTGGTAACTGCTTTTCTTTCCTGTTGTGTATTTCACTTACTCAGATTGAGCAAAGGAAAAAAAATCACCTGTGATGAAAATGATAAAATTATCTTGTAGGGGAGATAAAAACCATGCTTCCATAAAGCAGTACTTTCATTCCTCCAACATAAACAAAGCAACATATAATCAATCAGTACGTCATCTGTTTGGAAAAATTGTTCGTGCTCAAATGGAATGGCACAGAATCTGGCTTCTATTCTAGAGCTCTGTATTTTCTCTACATGCAGTGCATGCAGGGGAACACGCACTTCGCAAATAAAGGGGCTTCAAAGAATAGCTGTTAACCTGTCAGCTCAGCTGGATCAAATGAAAGTAATACCACATTCTAAAACTTACCTTGGTGAAGTAGCTGAACTCGATATAGTGGTGGGAGTGATGTCAGAAGGCAGGTGTGCAAGCGCATAGCCAACAAATATCGTAAGCCACATTCATCCAAGGTATCTCTTCCTGTAAAATATAAAACACTGACTTTTGAATATGGCAGTGTCTACACAGGGCATGTATATGATTTAAAGGAATGCATATGACTTACTCTATGCAGTATCTAACGAATATATCTTTCTAAATTTGCTGTATGAGACAAAGTATTGTGCATGAAATATAAAGATTTGTATTTAAGTATTCCTTATCAAATATCAAATTCCATATCAAATCTGAATAACTGATACTAGATTTCAGCTTTGTAATCCCCAAATACTCAAAGACTAAAATTCCCTTAGCTGGGAAGACCGTGAATATTCAATAATATGCCAGTTACTAACCTGAGTAATTCTTATCTCTGTTCTCATCTAGTTCGGTGCTTGTTGTGGCCACAGTGTCTGCCAAAGCTACAAGGAACATCTGCTCTAGACGAGTGAGGCCTGGCAGACTTGAGTGCATCAGGTGGCTTGAAAGGACGCTGGCGTGTTCTCGGCCAAAGTAAGTTGGACCATACTGTGAGAGATTAATAACTTTAGATTTACTCTCCCTCTTTTCAGGCTCAAAATCAATGAAGTCATCAGTTGTAACAGGCTGAATCTGAAACAGATCTGAGTACTGGTCCTCTGTTTTTTTTTTAGCGTCTTCTTCAGAGCCCTGGGGTATTTTAGAAGTTTCTTCAGAAACATAAGTTGCATCTTGATCTGCAGCAAGAAGCGCGTAAAGTGGCAGTGGAGGAATAGAGTCTATCTCTGTGTAGTCTCGAGTGCCATCTTTTCCAGCTGTGATGGTATCCTTTGCAGTACTGCCACTTACACTAATGGTGCGAGAAAGATGGCGTTTAGGACCACTGCCTTCTCCAGCTTCTGTGTCTTTTACTACTGCAACTTCTCCTGCAATACATTTAACTAAATGTGATAGAATGGCTTTGGCTCGGCGAACTTTACCCAGATCCATAAGTTCCAATAGCTGAGTTGGATGATACTGAGGGAGAGTAGGTGAAAGTACATGAGCAGCTTCAAAAAGGCCTCCGTCTTGAATTACAGTTGGAGTGCCGAAAACATCATCCACAATACCTGCCCCATCAATTATACTAGTCTTCTTTGATATCAAGCTTGTTTTGAGTGGATCTTGAGTTGCCAAATCTTCAGAAGTAAAAACATCACTTTCACCATCACCAAACTTGACAGTGTGTTTCCACTGTGCGTAAACGTGCATTTCACAGTCCATGCCCACCACCAGTATACCATCTCTCACCCAGGAGAGAGAAACAGGCAGTGAAGGAGTGCCATCTACAGATGATACCAAATCAATTGATCTAAGCAAAACCCACTTTGACTTTATACCTTGTTTTATGCTACCACCTAGCGGTAAAGTAATAACAGCTACACCTTCTTTGCTGCTTGCTTGATCTGTTACAATTCCTGAAAGTCTCCCATACATGAAAATATTGGCACCAACTCCAACTGTCAGTATATGTGAACCATCTTCTTTCGATACCCAATCCAAATGCACCAAATGCTTGATATTGGGCACTAGGTATTTGTCTTTATTCAGACATGTGTCTGATTTACTGTAAACAAACAAATTGCTATCTACACTGACCCTTGAATCAAGCACACTTCCAACTTTAACTAAGTCATCTAGATGAATTGTCTGTTCCAAAACCCATTCCGATCCTCCTGTAGACTCGCACTCAAGTATACAAACATGCATGGAAAATTCTTTTGAAACATAACCATTATGCTGTACAGGCTGTTTGTAAGCTACTGCAAGACGTCCTGTGTAAGAACAACTAACAGCAACTGGCCTTCCTACTATGGTGACAGTACTGCTGTTATCTTCTCCTTCATCATTCATTAAAGGCCATTTTCTCCAAAGATATGTTTCCCTTTCTTCATTTTTGCTGTTTAGATCTATCTCTACAGTACACCTCCAGAAACGCACTCTGTTGTCTGAACATGATGTTACTATCAAATAAGGTGCAAGGCAGACTGGGTATATTGAAGAAGAGCTCAAGTGACCTGAAATTAGAACAGACATAATTGCTAATAGTAACAAAAGTCAAATGACTATAAAAGATAGCCACAATGCTGTCACTACTAACAAAGCACTTTTTGATCTGGTTGTATTTTTCTAATTTGGAGTTAGATAAAAACAAATGTTTTAAGATCAGTGACAGTGTTAGTAGCCTGGGCATTACTTGTCATCTGCCAGTTGCAGCACTACTCAAAGATGATAAAATTTAACTCAACTAATTAAGAAAATGATTGCTAGAATAATGAGGGGAATACAAAGCTTTAATAAGATGAGTTGAAGGACATTAAGATTAGGCTTGTGTAGCATTCAGAAATGAAACCTATGGGGAGCACAATAGTACTTAAAAGTATCTTGAAAAGAAGAAGAGAGAGACAAATAAAGGAGGTAAGTACACAAAGTTTACTAAAAAAACCCCAAAAAATACTCATCAGATCAATGCTGACAGGGGACAAAGTGGATATGAATTGTTCATTAATAAACTAAGTCTAGGAGTTAAATCTCCAAGCATTTGAACAATAAGTTTTACAAGTAGCTTTGATTTGGGGGACTTGATACATTTAAAAAAGAGATGATGAGAAACAAGACATTTTGGATTTGAGAGATATGGACATAGAGGTGAGAAAGTCTTTTTAGTTCTACATTTCCTTTATCATTCAATTAAGAGAGTGATAGGGTTAGGGTTACTATCCTATAAACCAGGTGGTAGACAGTAGATCAATTAGATAGAAAAAAAATGTTAAATTTACCTGCTGAAGGAGTTGCTCTTATTACTTCTACACCAACAGGAAGATCCAGTGGTTGGCTGTACACAAGTCTGGAGCTCAGAATGAGTTTACTAGCAGTCTGAAGATTAGCAATTGATGAAGATCGTGGAATGGGACTCACGCCAGGTGATAAATCTGGAGAAGAATCTACAGTCTTCTGCTCAGGTATGCTAAGCTTGTTCTCTGATAAAGCAGTTTCAGTTGGTTTTGCTATATTGGAAAAAAAAAAAGTCATTGAAAACAGTTAAAAAAAACCTGTTTATATGTTAGAACAAAGCATGAATATGTTACAATCACACGTTTTTCTTAGTTGTGCTTCAGTTATGCAGAAAATAATTCTATATGTTGGCTGCTTTAGTTTTATTGCAAATAATTTTATGCTCATTATAAGACATCCATAACATTCTGAAATACTGACAATTTAAAATAAAGAATTCAATGATACGTTACTTATTATTTCAACATATTTTTATATTGTCAGTAGTACAGAACACAACCAGTGTTTGCATGGAATCTTACTCCTACTGCTTCTAAAATGACAAGCTTCAAATTCATGACACGTCATGATATTCAAAACATTCACCTATAAGAAAATACTCACCTAAACAAGCTTGCACAGATTTGAGATGAAGATGCCACATCTGAAGAACAGAACAGCCAGTGCTGTCTTTTTCAATTACTACCAAGTAGAACTTCTCTGAAAAAGGCGGTGGACGATATCCTGTAATTTAAAAACATTGATGAACTGTCATGAAGTTTACAATGGATAAAAGAACACTGATACAAAAAAAAAAATTCTTCCTTGAAATTGATTATAAAATGCTCAATACTAGTAACAACATTTAAATCAATATTTTGTTTGCTCAGATTTATAGAAGAATTAGTAAAATGGAGAGACTAACTTGCAGCCAGCCTGAATATTTTTGATTAATTAAATGCATTTGCCTTCTCAGTCAGTTTGAACTACTCTGCTATATTGTAAAAGCTCTCTTCCCTACAAGCCTGCATTCTACCTTTTTTTCTTTTAAATCTACTACTAAATTCCCAGTTACTTTCTATAGGATTAACTATGAAGATAGGTATGTTCATCTTATCACTTGTAACTACATGTTAATTCAGGAAATAGACTTCTGTTCTACTTCGTATGGATTTTAAAAGATACAGCATTTTGAAAAATGGACCTTGTCATACAAGTTAAAACATTTTACTCTAAGCAAATAGAATAAATTTACTTAATACTGTTACCATGTAGGCAGTGATTTATATAAGCAGCATCAGTTCACACATTTCACTGAATTCAACAGATTCTTAAATTGAATCTAGGATATGCCTGCTAAATTTTAATACTGTTCATGAGCATTTTTGGTACCTACTTCGTAGTACTTATTTTTATGCTATACCTTGTGATGGCTGGAAAAATATCTCTGTTTCCTTCTCTTCCACATCTTCCTTTTGTGGCTTGTATCCCAAAATGAAGTCTTCTTGAAAGACATGAAGCAATTGAGTATTTGAGCCACACTGAAATATTGAGCAGTAGTAATGCTTTCAGAATTAATGTTTAACAACATTTTGTACTAAAATACTTATTTTGTATAATCTGAGTATTGATAAGGAGGGATCACTTTATAATGATGAAAATCATTTTCTATTAGAAAAACATTTTCATCTGTACATTGAAACTAGCATGTTCTAGAACCTATTGTTTGTATATTCAAACAATTTTACTGAGATCTAGCATGCTAGACTAATTCTGTAATAATATTTTTGCTGCAACTATTTAAAGATGATTTTTATTTCTTTAGATGATGAATAAATGACCGTAGTAAAATATCTGAGACTTCTACTACTCCTCTTCAGTGGGAAGATGACTGCAATGAATTAAGAAATCTGCTAAAAAAGGGAAGGAACCTCAGATACTCCTCCTCTCATATCTCAATAGCTGTTGTTCCTGACAGTAAGATATTTCTTTGCAGTACCTCTACCCCTCTACAAGGGAGGCTGCTGGGACTGAAAACATTTCCTGCAGACAAAGAAAATGTGTCTGCCAGACAACAATGGCAAAATTTTCACATTCCTGAATATCTTCTTTTTCCAGAGAACTATGGAATGGCATCTTCCTCCATACAGGTATTCTTAAAATCCTACTAGATGAAATTAGCAAGAGCTAAGTCACTCAATATAAAAGGTGTTTTTCTTAGAGCTTCATCAGATGCCATTACAGCGGTGGCTAGGAACAAAGGAGGTAGTGAGAGGTTACACAACATTTGTGTTATGGGAAAGTCTACAGTCACCATTGTGATCAGGATGCTCTCTAAGAAACCTGGATTCAATGTCTTTTCATAGAAGAGGACCTCTCTCTCCAGAGCTTGTTGCTGCCTTTTCAATTCTGAAGTTCTTCCTAGTTCCAGCCTCACCTTTCTCTTGAATAGATGTACTGATGTCTACGTTCATTTTTTAAAAACTAGGAAAGTGACAAATGAAAACTTAATTATCCTATTTACTATTTCTGTAGGTATTGATAAGACCCAAGAATGCTAGTTAAGCTTTATACTGCTCAGGTGACAAGGGAGGTTAGAAGCTAAGCAGCTAAGAGAAATAGAAAACATTAAAGGTAACCAGGATGTCTTGATATTGTCTTTCAACAGAAGTCTTGAGAAAAACTGTTTCTAATATCATAAAGATGGTTCACAGTCCTTTTCTGTATTCCACATATCATTTCATAAAAAAACGACAAAAATATTAGAAAAAATATTTTGTACACCTGAATTAAAGGTCCCATATGATTAATAGTTAAAAGACATAGAAGAATAGAGAAAGAAATATTGAAGAACAGATAAATGCTTATTTAGATTTGTCAAATATACCTATATCTCTAAGTAAAACATGATAAAAAATAAAAATAAAAAAAAAGTCACTACCTAAAAAGGCTACTACCTAAATAAACCAGCACAGTAACTTCTGTGAGTACCAACTATGTCATATATGATTCCTACATTTTAAAAGACTTAAGCTCTATTTTTTATCTTTCGTTGTTGTTATTTGTCCCTATGTTATGCTGAGTTTCTGACAGTGACTCTTATTTTTTTCCTTTAAATCATGATGGGGATAAACCAGTCTTCGGTCAACTTTATTTTAAACAAGATTCGTGCCTAGAAAATATCGTTACACTCTATGGCAATGGACTTTGAAATCCAAGCAGCTAAAAGTTGTCTCCTGAAAGTGTTCTGAAAGGTCCTGAAAGGTATCTCAACATTCATGGAAATTCATCACTACAATTATCACCATAGAGAAATGTCATTTCTTTTGTGTCTTTTCAATATGTTAGCTTAATTAGCGTACAAAGCCATCAAACACCTTTATGTGATATCTTACGGAATTGATTAATTATTTACTTTGTTAGTTATTGCATCAAGTTCAATAATGCATCCAGGTCGAGCAGTAGATTGTTGGCTCACAATGTTAAACACTTCCCCAATCAGTTTCTGAAACAAAGCAATATGAGATGAGTTAGTAGATTTTCCCTTCAGACAAAGAAAATTGCAACCATTTACAATAAAATGATCGTTGTTTTTTTTGTTGTTGTTGCAGTGAATAGTTAATAGGCTTCTTAGGCTTCTTCCTGTTTTCATTTTGGCAGTTATGAATAATGTGCTTATCAGAACATTTGCACTTTGAGTCTGAAACTGTTCACGGGGATAACATACCAATTTATATGGAAAGAAAATGTTGTTTATTTTAAGATTTATCCTTTCATAATAACATAACTCAGTATCTGTACCACAGAGAACTCAAATATACCATTTCACTTTTGTTTAAAGCTTCAGGTTTTGTCACAGCACTGAAATTTAAAAGAAAAAATTCAATCAATTCAGGCTATATATAAACTGAATGTACTCTAGGTCATTGCTGGAGCATTCACATTCATTATTCCTCCAACAGGTTGGTCAGACTGATCAGAATACTGACATCTGATATTTTTACAGGATAGCTTATAAAATAACAGAAAAATGGAAACAGGAAAAATGTGCTTGTTTATTCAGTAACAATTAGAAGGGCAGTTTTTACTTTGCTTGAAGTCATAGGAAAGAAAGATAAAAGAACAAAAAATATGAGTTATTAATTATTAACAATAACTTGCCCTGATTCCCTCCTATATCAACATTAAGTGTGTGCCTGTAAGTCTTGCTCTTCCCCCTTTACCTGCCTAGCTGCTCCTGAATCCCCTCTTCTGAGAAGACAAAGAAAGAAATCCCATTTTTTTTTCCCTCTCTTGCTAAAATTTCCCTGTTAACCATTTTTAGTAGTAATGCATAGAATTGCTGTCTGCTAATGTTTATAGACATTTACAAAACATATGTAATTACACAAACTAAAAATTAAGGCCTTATATGTGCAACAACACGAAACTTGATGCGCACAAATAAATGAAGACAAACCACTGGAGGGGAAAAAAATGTTACCTTAACTACTTCTATTTTTAACATTTCAAGCCATCACTACATAAAACTTACAGATGATTCTGGGTCAGACAGCTCATCCAGAAGCTTTCTTGCATCTACAACAGCTTGGTAGAGCCTCAGGTTTTTGCCATCAGATGCAACAAAACAAGCGCTAGCAGAGTTGCAGTACGTACCTAGTAGAAAAAAAGAAATTGTAGAGTTAAAGAAAAAAAAGGGCATCAAATAGTCTCAGGTAGTCATTTATATTCCACTTCACAATATCTGAATGTTTTTAACAGTAACTGTTATAAAATATTGAAGTGAAACAAACCCAAGAAATTATGTGGATTAAAACACCAATATTAAGTCTTCAGGGTAAGTTTCTGCTCATTTATTTAACCAAGATTTCTCATAAAAGTTGAAATATTTAAGTGAGATTCACTTTTGTATATAAATATAATTCATAGTTTGCCTAACAGAATATTGCCATTCCTTAAAATGATTATGTTTTCTTCGCTGTCAAAGAGAACCTCTGAGGAGGTGCTTGGAACTCTACCTTCCCTAGGTTATTGGAGATGTTTAAAGTAGTCTAAGGTAAACTGTTCAGAATAGCAGCTTTGCAGACTGAGACAGCAAAAAACTGTACTGTGTGATTAAAGGTTGTTTTTTTTTTTTAAATCAAAGAAAAGTTATGCATTTATTAAGCATACTTAGTATTTTTGAGGTTGTTCAGTGCCTTTGATACCCATTTAAGAATTGCCAAAGTCAGTCTAGCCTTACTGTAATAAAGTATCCTAGCGTTATTAGTTTAAACTTGAATAATGTTACATTCACAGTTTACATTTTTTAGTACTGTTCACAAAGACAACCACTATTACAACAGCATCTTTATAATTAAAAATAAGTATCTAAGTGACAGAGTAGATTAACATTTCTAGCAACAATTTTCTTAAATGTAACAGAGAGCATCAAAATTTTATACAAAAACTTCCCCCAGGGCATTGCATCTGATGTTGTACATCCTGACCTCTGAAAAAATAGCGTTTGCAGTTTTGTAAAGTAAGTGTAGTTGATTTAAGGTTGCCTAACATACTGAGCAGTGGGATCACCTTGTCCTGTTATGAGAGTTATTATTAAGTCTAACAAAGAAATTGCTGCCTGTCAGCTGATCCATAGTAAGTACAAACTCTTAGCCCACACAAACTACGCTATTTTGAAGTAGCTTAGCCTCAAATGGAGTAAGAATGCCCATGGCACAATACAAGGAAACAGCTGAGAAGTACAAAATTCCAAATATAACAGTAACTTATTTTTTAAAATAAATTCTAAGGCTACTGGTGTTAATTTTACATGGCATCATGCTAAGAGTACTTACCAAGGCAATAGCTGGGAATGAGTGTGGGAAGCCAGGCTACATTGGAGAAAGCAGAAGTATGAAGAGAGTTAATTCGGGCCAACTCAGACACTCCTCCAGTGTATGACAAAGGTCCTATTGGGTCTACGCGCCACAGAATCAGCTCGCTGTAGATTGCATTTGGGTCATGAAATGTACGAGTTGCTGCATTTTTAAGCTGTTGCCGAGAAGAACCTTTCAGATGTTTACTAGGATCCATTACTCTGCTTATTCTGTCAGAGCCGTGACAACTGTCTGATTCCGGAGTTAATAGAGCATTATGATGAGAAGATGTTAACAGTAATGGTAAAACAGAATGGCAAGCTAGATCATTAAGATGAAAACGGTGCCCACAGTACCTAAATTTATGTGATACAGTTAGCACAGTAGTGAAAGCTGATTTATCAGCAAAAGTAACTGCCCACTGATTTAGAGAGCCATCTATATGCTTGGAAATCATCATTACTATGGGAGAAATTATATTCACGTTTGTACTGCTCTGGGTAAAGCCTGGTCCTCTATTCTCTAGAGTTTTATCTGAAAAGTCCATTGTCTTCTGATGTACAGCATTACTGGTATCTTTTAATAAGACAGGGCAAGCATACATCATAATATTTTTGCTAAGGGAACTAGCATCTCCTGATGGAAATGCAACAGGAATCCTAGAAGAAAATGAAACCTGGAAGGGAAAAAAAAAAAAAAAATTAGAATATAACAACACAGTGCAAGTCCAAATACATGTTAGATGTCACAGGAAATGCTTATAAGTAAGTTCATTCTGATGACCAGATTTAAATAGCAGGAACATAATGACTTCATTAGGATCATAAGTAATAAACCAATTTCAAATATACAACACCTGAACTTGGCGAAAGATGCCTGGCGTGTATTCATCTAAATACTTCACGTGCCATAGCAGAAAGGTACCATCGACAGGATGAATGGTAAAAAGCATATCTGGATTTCTGTTCCATTCAGTCAGCAGCAACTCAATTTTCCGATCTAACAAAACTGTTGGAAGAGGCATCCGCAGGCTTCCTCCTAGAGATGTTTTGGGGCTTCCCTCTCGTTCTCCATCTTCATGTTCTGAAGAGCCTGTACCAGTCCCTGTCTCTGATTCTCTATCTATAGACAAGTCTGCAACAGAAATGTGTTTTATCCATTTCAAATATTTTCCTACCATTGTTTCTATTCCAAACAAGAAAACATTTTAAAATCTGTTGACAGCACTACCTCATAAGAATATTCATGCAAACTGAGGGTAGAAATATCTGTCTGTAGAACTCTCCATTTATTGCTCCTAATTAGTAATAATGAACACAGTCATCAAAATTGAGATACTTAGAATCTTATCCTGACTACGATTATTCTGTTCAATTACATAAAAACAGATATTTAGTATTAATGCTGGTTTAGTATATTTATTTCTGTTTAAAATGTTATCATGAACTATGTGGTATATGATCATTGATGAAGTAGCATGTGCAGTCAGAATTATGACAAAATAAATTGCACTAACCTAGATTTTAAGAACCCAAGAATTATAAATGACAGTATTTCATTATTAGTTTATACCCTCAGTATTAACTCTTACTTGTTTAGGCAGAAAAGTTTTTATGAGTACATTATTAGTTTGATAATTCATTATTCTTAACTGTGAGGAAACAAGGGAAAATAAATTTTTGGAATTTTAAATTAAATGGGGTTTGTAATCTTTAATAAAATTGAAGGAATACATTCCCTGGAAAAGTGACATTCTCTCAGCAATGTGAAGTCTTTCCAGCAGGACATGTTTTCAAAAATTTATTTCACAATATGTCCCTCTGTTCCTATGTGAACAGCTACAATTGGGATCACTGGATGCTGTAAGGTGTAAGATGCAAAGCTTACACTGGATAGAGTGCAGTTTCATTCAAGTGGAACAATGTCCAACCCTCCTTAAAGCTTGCCATCAAATCATTATTCATTACTGACAATCAGATTGTATGGTAAATCAAGAGCAAGTCTTAGTCTTTATTTCCTAACTATAAAGCATTTCCAAAACAGATATGAAAAACAAAGCAACCTTTTTTTTTCACTGAATAAATCATTATTGTCTTCCAATAGGGGATATATCATTAAGTTTTTCATGCCACCTGATTATTTGAGGAGGCAAAATTGTAGCTCTATCTATTTATATTAGGTTAATAACAAAATATAACTTCTGATTCTCGTGCTAAATATTTGCATCAATTACTGCACTAAATAAATGTGTTTCAAAATTATTCTTGTGCTATAGATCTCAAGGCTACTAACCGTGATCTAATTTCATGCGCAAACCTCTCTCTTTTCCTTCTATTTCTTCTTGCTCTTCAACCTCAACATTATCAAAATCTTCTTCTAGTTGTTGCTCAGAAAGTTTTCTTAGATGCTGCATAAATACTTCAATAGATGATGTAAAATTAAATTCCTTATTATTCAACCAGTGAACGACGAAACCTCCATTGCCTTCATCTGTATTAAAAGCTGTTCCAGCCAAAACAGATGGAATATCTGTGGATTGTTGTAAATAAATCAAAAAGCTGTATCTTAAATCTATATAAATGTATATATACTTATATTATAAACAGATTTCTTGATTGAACATTTAATTCATTCTTGGTAGAACATAATTTTGCCTCTAAGTTTAGGAAAAGTAAGATTCAGGTCAAGTTCCTACATATGAATTAAAAACAATAAAAATACAGTTTAACATTAATGAACTAACAAATTGTGATGAGAATAGTAAATGGTATTTACTAGCTCTAATTGCTCAATTGTTTCATAAGTTGCAGTGTTGTCACTTCACCTACGGACTTTAGGTAATGTAGTATCTTTAATCTTTTTCTTCTACAAAAAACAAAGTGGTTTTATCCATAAAAAAAATATTGTACAACTTTTCTTCATTCTGTATATTCTGTAGTTAAAATACTTCATTCATATACTGTTGCCTTCCTAAATCCAACAATCAAGCATGAAGCAGGCTTGAAATTTAGATTGTGAAATTTCTTTTACTTCTGATATGCAAAAATAAATTTAATTTGGATTTTAAGAATGCTGAAAGTTTTGGGCAACTGGCTGTAGATGACCCTGTTTAAGCAGAGGCATTGGACAAGATTATCTCCAGAGGTCTCTTTCAACCACAACCATTCTGTCCGTCTGATTTTTTTAGGAAAAAACTAATAAGTAATAAAAATATTCAGACCAATTTGTTTACATAATTCTATGCAAAAAAAAAAAGTTATGAAATAATATTCTCCCTATGAATGAATACCTTGTATTCAAAGACGTATAACAAAGAACACGGACCTCAGACCCCTCTGTTTATTTTTTCCATTTTGTTCAAATCTATTATTAACAATTTGATAAATGGTTGCATTTTACCTGTATTAGGGTTGATGCTTGCTGCTATGTGGAAGTGACCGAGTGCATTTGCGTGATGTGAAATGTGACGCTGAACTTCATGAGTACCCTGCTGATCTGGCAACACATCTGTGTGGGTAACAAGAACGGAAGACCTCCTTTGTCCTTTTCTCATATTTTTCAAGTGGTGAATTGTCTGGTACAGTTAGAAAAAACAATTTAAGAAACAATAAAAAGATTAACATATAAATATTTATGTAAAACGTAAAGCTTTAAAATTTCCTTCTCCCTAAGAAGTGAAGACTAATTTCAAAAAGATTACTTGAAGTTCATCTCAAAGGAGATTAATCAAGCTCATGTGTATCAGTTCTGACTGAAGACGGAGTTCTTTTAGCAGTCTCCAGAAAGGTCCTTACATTATCTGCTTCAAAGACAAAAAAAATCCAACTATTTTGTGTAACAATCATGAAAAAGATTATTACAGTCTAAAAGCAGAAACAGTTATAAAGCAATTTTATAATGAATTACTTTTATGCAACTAAAAATTAGTGAGAATACATGGAGACTGCAGCTTATTCAATAGCCTGAAACATAGTTGGTTCCACCCTCTCTGGGTATTGTCAGTCATGATATGTAAGAAGTAAGAACTTCACCTGATTGTTATATTCTACAAATGAGTGGTGTTTTTGTTTGGTTTTGTTTTCACACTGACAGGTTTTCTTTTCCTGTAAACATAATATACTGCATGTGATTGCTACTGAAACTTAGAGCCTCACATTTTTATAATTCTGGAAATGCAATTATCCACTCAGATGCCTAAAGTAAAGTGTATTTACTGCTTCTACTTTTCTTTTTTATCTACAGACTTTCAGACGCAGTCAAAATGAAACCTTCTTACTATTCCATATTAGTCATGCTCTCTCCTCAACACTTTTAGTTAGCTATGGAAAAAGTAGACTGAAATTTAAGAACATGTAGTTTAGGTGCAGAACAGAACCTTATTTCTTCAGTGATTAATAATATACATCTATAAATAATGCAGACTATTCTGCTACACTTGCAAGAATTAAATAATACACAGTCTTAGAGTTCTGCATAGTTTAAATTTTCTAATAAATGTTTACAAGTTTTAACAATTCTGAAATACAAAATTGACAAGTATTGTACCTCTAGTGCATGCTGTATTCTGTCTTTGTGCTTTCCAGATTGAGAAATGGTGCTGCTAATGCTGGAAGTGCTAGTTTCACATATCTGCTCACCCAGAAGAGTATCTTCTGGTAACAGTGTCTCTGCCCACAGTCGACAGATGCCATCAAGACATGATGTGAGTAACACATTGCAGACTAAACCCCTAAAGAGAAGCATATCAAAAATATTACTCAACATAGAGAAATTGTGATTAAAGACACAACAAAAATCAGAAGAAACACAAATATTTAGCAGTCATTGCTACTTCCTCCAAATTCCTACCTCTCCCTCTAAACTACAGGGTTTATATATTACAAATATATAAATATATATATATGTATTTATATATATATATATTTATATATAAAACTAAAGGTTTTATAACAGTAGGGATTTTCAACATGCTGACAGATAAACTCATAAATTATTAGCAAAAGTGCATGTGAACATGGGGTGGTTATTATTTGATAAATGCAACAGTTATTATAAAACTGCAGTTATGGAACTGTCGAAGTTATATTTTTTTGCTGGATAATGTGAAGAATACATACATTGTTACTAAATCCTGAAAAGTGAATCAAACAATGAATTAAACAGCAGCATATACAACAAGGTTCAGAAAAAATCTTAGTGCTAACTGTTAAAGTTTTATTTCCAGTGTCACAATGTCTGGCAGAACTTGAGAAGCTCAGACCATATTTTAGAATGAATCTCTCCTATTAACATGACTATAATTGTTGTAATAAGGAACGGATGTCTTCGTATATGCTGGATATGTTCAATTTCTTCAAAGCATAAGCAGTGAAATTGAACCATGTTCTCATGGCCAAACTTTAAGCTGTGTGTTAAAAAACAAAACAATACAAAAAACCGTAACAGTTTGGTCAAATATTTGCTTGCTGGTTTGTTGCTTGTCTTAAAAATTAAATCTTTCAAACCTGGGCATGTACTTGCTAATATTACGCCATGAAAATCCTGTCACTGCTCGAGGATGAGCTAAATAGGCAAATGAGAAGTTGACAACCCCTGAGCATTTCTTCTTCTCTTCATTCTCTTGGGGCAGAAGAGATGACTTCCAACCAGTTATAGGATACCAAACCTTTAAGAGGCAATCATCCTAGGTAAAGCAGCAAAATAACATGGGATTAGCTAGCTACAAGTGAAAAAAGTCAGAAAAAGAAAATACTAAAATGGTATGCAAGACTGCTGTTCAGTACCTTTCATGAATACTCAATCTATGCCCCGGAACTATTTGCAGTTTTGCAGACAGCCCATTCCTGGGACCAGAAATTTCACTGATAGTAATCCTGAAATGAGTTTCAGGACTGAATAAATATTCTGCTAGGAACACACTACTCCCAGAAGTAATTTTTCTTGCAGTCCGTTTGTCCCCCTACATTCCTCTTGGTTCTCTTTGCATTTTCTGCATATTATATATGTGTGCTTCAATCCCACATCCATTCCTCTGCAAAAATGAAAGCCAGAAACAGGCTGCCACTCCTAGCTCAATATTAAACTTATTACCAGTCAATTTCTCCCTTAGGAAAATTTGTGCTTTAAGTCCCTGGGGGTTCCCATGCACAGGAAGCCTGATTTTTGTGGGAAGCACTGTATCTGCTGCCAATAGGCCCATGAATGACGAGTGGCTGCATAGTACAACCCTTCCCTCCACCAGCAGAACATGTGCTACCTTTCCTATTTGAATGGCTGGGTACTACTGATCTGGTTAAGTGAAACAGAAGTGAATTGCTGACACAGCAATACTCCAAATGCTGTTAAGTGGGACTGGAGTGTGACTGCACTGATGTGAACTAAGGCAACATTAGTAGGATGACCACAATACACTGTATATATTTGTGCAATATATCCATGGATTTCAGCACTGGAAAAGGAGTGTAGATGCACAATAAACAAATAAATTACAAATCTCTGGGAGCTCTTATTTATTTCCTGTCAAACATGTAAAAGGCAGTATCTGACCACACTCTGCAAGAAGAAAGGTTGAGAGACAGCACTGTTAAAAATTATGATGAAATTGTGAAGGAACTAAGATGGATCTGTCCTACAAACAGGAAATAACTACTGGAACCATCTGCCTCACACGCTTAGCCAAATTCTTAACTATGAAACTAAATTCATGGAAAACAGAAGCATGGAACAAAGCAAAAGTTTTGGTATTTTTCTAACTACAATGACTTTAAATGTAATATTTTTGAGGTGTCGTTATTAGATCTTTAGTCATAAAATAATGACAGCTTGTGATTCCTTGTCCTCTTTAATAAGTCTAAGAAGATAAAGGTTTCTAAAATTCCTATATCATTTGACCAACATTAGCACAAGCAATAAATGCCCAACTATCCAGACTCTCAGAACTCAAATGAGAGGGTAACATTAAAGAGAATTATTAGTTGAAAACTTAGTTTGAATAGCAATTTGACAAAAAATATGACAAATGGAATTAGAAGTTAAGAACTGACAGCAAAACCAGACTTCACTGTAAACAGAAAATCTTTCTGTTTGTACACTGATATGCACGTTACACTTGCTTAAATGCATGTGTTTTTCACGATCTAAAATTTATCTTAATTATTTCAAATAGAGGATGAAAAAATTGTTTACGCATATCTGAAAGTTCATCTAAGTATACTTTATCTAAAATATAACTGAGTCTGTATTACTGTCACTGTATTTTCAGGACAATTCTGAAGTATTCAGTAACAGTAAACAACTAAATCAAATTTCTTGTTGAAATTCATGGAATTACGTGAAAATAGAGCATTATACAGAAGATGATTACTTAGCTCAGACTACAGTAGAATGCATGGCTGTAGGACCATTCTATATTACTTATTTTCTTCTGTCAAAAAAAGGAACACAACTGAAGAGCTTATCTTGTTTGTTGTTGTTTTTGTTATTCTTACCTTCCCAGCTGTTGCAAAGTATTCACCATCAGGAGACCAGGCCATCAAATGTACTGATACTGCAGTCCTAAAGAACACAAGAGTAAAGTTTTAAAATGTAAGTAAAGTCTATTTATTGTACAGTATTACTCCAAGTATATTTAGTTAATTCAATGTTAATGTCATTATGTAATTAAACTATATTTGTATTTTATAGTTGTTGTTTTAAGCATACTTTAGATATGGCAGAAGCGTAAGAAGTGTTTGCTACAAGAAAAACATAGTATTTAGTATTTTCATATAGTTTTCTTTAGAGAAAAACAGCACATTAAAAAATCAGTAGTTTTAAATATGGTAAGCCTAGGCTAGATCTAATGAGATCATGGAAGTGAAGTTTGTTCCACTTGCTTTTCCACTCCCAGAGGCCAAGACAAATGATAGGAAGGCATCAAACAGCTCTCATCTTGATCAGCATTGTATGTCTGCTTGCTGCTGCTCCTCTGTCACATCCAATATCTCAGCACTACTTTCAAAGGATGAGAAGACAGGGACAATTTATACATATTGCCAGGGCTGTAGTTAAGCCTTTGATATGTTACTGGGTGACTGAAGGTCACCTGAAAAAATGAGTTGTTTTTTTTTTTGGAGTAACTTCCATTGTTTGAATTTTATGATAGTTTAAGCTTATTTAAAAGATATTTTAAAATACACTTTTGGAGAGAAGATAGGGTTGATATATGAGTTGGCATCGCAATCTGTCTTAAAATGAGAACTGTCTCACTCACTTGCACTGCCAGACACATTTCCAGTCATTCAGAACTGGGAGAACTTTATCATCTTTTATCTGATTATCAGGATCATCTTCATCTTCCTCTAGAATGTCACTAGATGGTGGAGCCCACAGTTGCAAATAGTCAGTTGCTGTCAGCAGCCTGTTACCTGAATGTGAGTAATGTTGAAGACGTGAAACCAAACTGATACATGCATAATGATGTTTAATGTCTGTCATCATATTTCGATGAAAATAATTAAAAACAGGTTGAACATTCAACTTTATAAAGTCCATTTTAAATATGAAAGAGTATTCAATCATACTATACATCTGTTTTTATCAAAACATTTTGAATTTATAATGCCTTTCAAGAAAAATTTTTAGGGTTTTGATGTTTTTAAGATCACTTTGAATGACAGATAGTTTTTAATAATGACCTCTGAAGATGCTGAACAGCCATTAATGTCTCAGATAATGCACACTGTTAGATATCTTATCAATATCTCTCTCTTGGTAGAGTTTTATTATAAGTCAGCAATATATTTAAATGATTATTGGTAGTAATTTAAGGCAGTTATCAACTTAACACCGTGATTCCCAAACTAAAATCTTACATAAAGCACTCAAAATACTTGGCATAGCATCTTCACAAATGCATTTTATCCGATGCTACGCTGCCAAGAATGGATCATCTAAAATGTCTGTATTCATGCTCCCACTTCATTTCAATAAAAATAATTTATGTTCAAGTTTTCTAACTATAAACATCAAACAAATGCATCACAAATTTCACATTACCTTGAGGATCCCAGGCTAAGTTGTAAGTCATAGAACTGAGAAAAAACTGCCCCGTTTTAAGCCACTGACACTTCAGCTGCTGCAGTTTAAAGAAGAGTAAAAATTAATTGTAACATCAGCGGCAATGGCGTTTGTATTTATTTCTCACTAAGTTGTTACAAACGAAGTCAGGACCCAGTGGCAGACTCTGTAGTCTAGCTTGAATAATTTCAATTGTTTAATAAAAATTAAACACATCAGAGTCGCATCAGATACAAATGAATCTGTAGATTGCTATAAGCTGGTTGCATCACACATTTGTAACAACATAAGGAATGGCAGCACAAATGCAACAGATCGCAAAACCCACTTGTGAACACAATCAACACGACATTTTGGCCATGACTGTGCTGTTTAAACTAGCGTGGATACACAAGTCCAAGTCCTATTTCTGTATTACAGACCTGGCATGTCAATTTAAAGAAATATGAGCTGACTGCTATGTCACTCTTGCATCAAATCTTGCTGTGAACTTGAGAACATTGCAATCCCCAGCTCTGTTTGTACAGTGGAAGATCCTTCTCATCCATTATTATTTTATCTTTTATTATTATTATCCATTACTATGGATGCTGTGAAATGTGTATCCAGTAGTCTTTTGGGTGCCAATTTAATAACCGACAGACATACTTTTCCTTCAGAACCTAAAATGAATTACAATCATAAAATATATACTTACACTGTTTCTTTTATGAGAATTTACACCAAGTGGTTCAAAAATGCAAACAGCATTTCCATATGATGCTGCAATCTGGAAAAAAAACCCCAAAGATTCAAGATATAAGGTTAGGAGAGAAGCCTAACTGCTCCAAAATCTTTGAAAGAATCTAAAGAATTTCCACAGTACTACTGCAATGTACAGATATTCAGCAAGTAAAATGAAAACAAATGTTATTCAGAGTATTATACAAATACTTTCTATAGGAAGATCAGAAATGCATACCTTTGAACTAGCCCATCTTTAAGATTTTAACTGTAAGTATGGAAGATATTTCATTCAGTGGGATGAACACTGTCAATCAGATCTAATACATACTTCTAAGGCAGCTATTGTTAATGTGTAAGGGAAAGCTGGTATCTTACTACTTCTGCTCGTTTTCCCTACTTTACAACTAACTAATGAATTAATTATTAGTGTCTGGGTCTCAGTGTGACCCCATGTTCCATTTTGTACCACTAAATAATAATTACTAGAAAAGGGGAAGAAATTGGATTCCATTTTGAATAGTTAAATTACATTGTCAGGGAAGATAAATAGTAATGGAAAAACTGAAGTTCTTGTACCACTCAATTTCCTTCATCTACTTGTTTTACAGAAACCCTCCATGTACAAGATGGCCTTTATCAGGAATTTATCTAGTAATATTCCCAATACTCAAATGCTTGTAAGTACTTTTAACATTTTATCATTTAACTGTTTTCTTGTATAAAAGATTTTTAAAACAACTGTTTAAAGTTCCTCCTATTCTCTTCGACACAGAAGTGAAATAAGAGTTTCACCACATTATGAAATCTTACTTCCTCTTCACATGGTGGGAAGAAAATTAAAATAAACACCAAACCAAAAAAGAATGGACTTTGAGTTCAGAGTCCTGAATGCAGAACCCTGCAGAGGTTCACAGTGGTCTTGCAGAAGCCACCTGTGCGAGATGGAATCTCTCTTCCCACTGGGCCTCCATGGCTGAAGTGCGGGGGCCTCTACAGCTAAAATTTGCCTCAATTGGTAACAGTGGTAGGCAAACAGAACTGATAAGCAAAATTTGTGCTCAGTGCTCCGCAATACTTCATAGAAAGGTTTTGGTTTTTTTTTTTTTCATGGCAATCTAGACTGTCTGTTCAGCATTAAGTGGGGATTTAAAATAAAGCCACATAGCCAGTCAAGGGCCACACAGTTATGACAGCTCATATTGCAGCACTTTGAAACACTGTAAACGTGCCTGAGCTTTTCTGAAAAAACAAAGAACCTTTAATTTATTTATGTTTACATAAATTATTTATCCCTGCCATGTTTTACCATATGCAAGCAGAAAATTACTGAATCACAAAAGCAGGAAATTTTATACCATTGCCATACTGCAACTAATATATCTTTCCACATTTTGAGAGGTTTGTTACTGCATATGTTGGAAAGGCATAAAATCCATTGTTAAAATGTAACTCCTGCCTTCTCCCTGCACCACAACCTAAAATTTTCAAAAATGGGCTGTACTAAAGCAATCCTCTGAATGGCGCTGAAAACCACAGATCAGTAAAAATCTTTGTCATTTAATTAACTCAGTAATCACGTTAATGTTTTGTGTTGAATTGTTTCAGTATCCTTTTTCTTTAGGCCTATATAAAAACGAAAAATAAAAAACCCAATCCTTACCCTGCCTTGTCGCTGGGAGCACTCCACACAACTGACCTGAATGTTTCCATGTTTAGCACCAGGAATAATTTGTACACATTCAAAGTCATTTGCCAGAATAACAATGTCACAACCAGAACCATATGCCTGAAATGATTTTTAAAAGGAATACAAATTAAAATGTATTAAGAAACAAACGCGCAAGCAACTAAATCATTAAAAAAGTCAACTAAATCATTATTAGAATTATGTTTTGAAAAACGTAAAAATCTCAGTTTAAACAAGTAATGGATCTTATGTTGCTATGTAGAGAGTTCATTCCTCATCAACTTGGTAGCAAGAGCAGGACAACCAAGAAGTACAAATCAACTCCTAGGAGTTACTCTGCCTTTCAGACTAGGAACGATTATCAGGAGGGAAAAGGAATTTGAGCAGCCAATGCCAATATCTGAAGAATTTACAGCTGGGATGGTTACGTCCTTCTACTAGCAGATGTGAATGTATTGGGGTTTGACTGCTCTACGCACAAAGTGTGCAATACAGTAGTACTGTCTTTTGCTTTAGAGTTCTATGCTTTTGCATTTGTTGGATAGATATATTTTTAATCTTCTCTCCAGCATTTTGGGAAATGGAGGAAAAAAGTTCCAGAGGCAGAAGCAATGAGACAGAGCTGATTTCAAAATGAAATAGGAAAGTGCACCTTGAATTTTCCCAGGTTTAAATCTTTAAGTCCTGGTAAAAAGAAGCAGTAAGAAAACTTACTCTAAAACTTCAAGTCTGTGTGTTCTCTCACTTAAAAAAAATCATATTGAATTTAAGTAGAAGTTCATCCTGCTGTCACCATTCCACCCCCTTTAAAAAGAAAATCAAATGTCGCTTTTCCACAAGGATCCCATTTCTGCACTCCTCTGGGTTTTAAAATAATGCTTGTTACGATACTGCAAAGCAAAGATTTGTCCTGGGTAAGTTGTATCTCATAGATAAACACTGTATCCCATAGTATCTCATAGACAAACTGCAATATAAACAATGCAAGAATAATTTATAGTACAGTGATAGCTTGCAGCACTTGTTTTTGGCAGAATAAACACGTATGTCTGCCAACCTTTCACCTGCTCCTGTGCACTAGAATACTCTAAGCCCCATAATCGCAGATGATCTGTTGTACCGAGGTCCCACATTCAAGCACAGAAATCCCTTTCTTTCATAAATCTACTAACAAGCTGTTTTGAAGTAAATAAAAGTCATAGTAGGAGGCTTCTTTCCTTAAAGGAAGTTTTCCACCAATTTTAATACAGCAGAACACATTTTACAGCAGTTGAATTAAGCAGGAACGTGCCTCCTCTCAGCAGTCAGTGCCAGATGCCATAAAATCACTTTGTCAGTTTAACTTGCCTCTTGCTTTTCTCACTGTAATTTCTAGATTACTGAGTCCTACCCTCACTTTTGAGGTCAGTCATTTTAAAGGCTATCTAGGTGAGTATTTCTATAGGTGTCCAAGATTAATGCCTGTTGCTGGTCACTGTGTGGTAATGGTGTAGGAAAGCCACTGGAACTAGACAAGTCTGCAAGATCTCAGTCTCATATTTACTTCTGATCTTCCTGGGAAGGAACAGTGAAGATATGAAGAAAAAAGGCTGAATTTAATGAAAGCACAGTCACAGTCACTGCAAAGACAGGAAGGGAACAGCAACATAAATAGAAAAAGCAGGTACTCAGACTGTAGAAATTTTTAATCTAGCTCATGTTAATTTCTATCTGATTTACAGACCTTTAAACTTTTTCTTGTGCTAACATTCCCTCAAACCTTGTGTTGCTTGCAGTATGAAAAAGATTTAGTTTTTACTTTTTTTTTTTCAGTGAGAGCTCTGAAAAAATTTGCTCCTCCAGCTGTCAAACAGTTGGGCCTGCTAAAGAATCTCAACACGTGGCTCTTCAGACTTGTGGAACTCTGGATGGTTGTTTCTAAGGGAAAGGATTGTGGGATTTCATCTCAGAATTATTATGTCTCCCAGCTTGAGAACTGGCAAATATACAAAGAAAAATGTCACAACTTGAGAAGTGGAACTGTGATAAAATATTTTACTATTAGTTTTTCTGAAGTCCAGAAAATCATTGTTTCTATAAATGACCTTTCTGCTACCACAATATTTAAAGTAAGTGGTTATGCATGTCCTTGGAAAGAAACTATTAATGAAATGATAATTCCAGGTCCCTCTTTTTTTTTTTTTTTTTTTTTGAAACATCTACAATTTAACACTCCACAGGACGTCTACCAGCACAGTCATTAACTGTCATTAACTGAGAGTGTGTTTATGGATTTTACAATCTGAAGATAGTTCAGGTCAGTAACTGCACTGCTTGCAAACACCTGGTTTTGTGAGTACTATTGTCACTGCTCTAAATACAAGCTTTTGATATGGCCTTATATAATGTGGTCCCCTCGCTAAATACCTACCTGAACATGAGAATACACATTTTACCTGTAGATGCAGCAACTAAATGTCCGAAGTAGTCCTGCGACTGTGTAGTTGCATGCGAAAATTAGAACTGGGTACACAAAGCCTAGACTGAAAGATTTCCAAGGCCATGGCACAAAAATGAGGTAATGCAGGTTGTCTTTCTGAGTCCTCAAACCTACAGCTGTTGTTCTGGGAAGCTCTGAGGAACTGATACTGAGGTATCAGTATACTGCAAGCAGGGAGGAGGGGGGAACCAACTGCTAAAAGGTGGTTAGAGGGAGATTGTCTGTGTAAGAAAATACCTTAAGCTCCTTTGTGACTAGGCCATGCATTATTACACCTGGCTGGAAGGGAACAAATTATTACAGAAGTTGAATACAATTATTTCCAGAAAGTGGGAGTGAGAGAGACTTGAGATACTGAAGTAACTTCTGGCACTGAACAGAAAATCTTCCTGCTTTATTGTTGCTCAACTTCACATATTGGATTTTGTTGCAAAACAAACTCCATGAGTGGTGTGGAAAGCTGGACAGCTCAGCAAACATTCACAGGCAGGGTGAAGAAGATGGAGACTGTGCTGCGAATGCCCACAGAAAGACAGGAGAACAAAAGCAGGTCCTGGAGTTCCAATATTTTATTCACCTACTTCAAAGGGTAAGCAATTAAAACGACAGAGATTCATTTTCAGTTTTTTGTCCCTCAGTCTGCCTTCTAATTACTAATACCAACAAACTAAGGGACAAGATTTAAAATGTTGTTTGATACATTAAGAAAGAAAAGGCATTGGTCCACTTAAAATAAGATCTTAAACTATGGAAATACCCTATTTTTTTTTCATTGTTGGTATTGATAATTTGACTTGAAAGAGGTACAGACTCAAGCCTCAGAAATAACACAGGGAAGGGAAAACACTTCTCAACTTCAGTTATGCTTACTGTTGTTAAACATGTACGCCTGTGTGTGTATAGTTGATAATGGTCAAACCAGAAAAAATGTTAATGCTTGTGTATATGTCTGTTTGCCCTGTGAAGGAATAGAATATAGTAGGTTGCTTTTTAAAATGTTTCAGTTTCCCCTCTCCAGTCCCCTCTCCCCAGCTGTTATCATTGCAACAAAAGAACATTTTGCTGGTTAATTTTAGCATTTACCATTTTTATGAAATTAACTAAAAAAGTTGGTTAATAAGCAAAAGGGTGTTGTTCTACAGAAGGTTCTTTTATTTTTCTCAAGGAATCATCAAGACATAGAGATCTGTTTCCTAAGTGAAATCTTAACTATTCTTTCTTCTGTTTCTCCTCTTTGCCTACATGTGGCACAGCACCTAAGTGTCCCACGTCAGTCCATGGAAGACCTCAGCCAGAACACTTTCCCTGCAGGTATCAGCCTGCAGCTCCAGGTTCTTTGAGGAAGCACTTTTGGTTCTGAGGTCATTTTTTTAGTGTCAGTATTTATTTTGAGAAAGTCTCTTGTTTCTTGAAGTTCTTTAGAAGCGTATTTGCTATAAAACTTCAGCAGTACCAGCAGTATCAGCACTTTGAAGGAAAGGCACACCCTCATTTGAAAATGTGTTCACTTTTTCACGTTTACACTGTCCACATTTTTCAAAACAGAAGAGATCCATATATTTTCCTGTACTGAAAGTGTAAGAGACTATTCTGTTGACTTCTGTGTCTCAAAGCTTGCTGGGGACACAGATGGACTTGTTCAAGTCCAGACAAGTCTCGAGCAAGGACGGTGAAAACCTTTGTCTTAAGGAGACAGATGGACAAGGCCAGGGGCAACGAGAGCGAGATGAACTGCAGCTAAATAGCTGTGAAGTGCTCCTTTGTGTGGACCTATCTCAGGATGACGGCCATCTCAGGGGGTACTCAATGACTCTTGCTCGAGGCCCATCCTTGTCACGTAGGCAGGAGAATAAGGAGGATAAAAGAAGAACTGAAAACCATGAGGATAGGTTTTCTGACAACAGATTCCTCATGAAGAAGAACAGGGATTTCTGACAACAGATTCCTCATGAAGAAGAACAGAGAGAGAGGAATTCCTGAAGATAGAGGGATTCCTGAAGATAGAGGGATTCCTGAAGATTGAGGTGATTCCTGCATACTGTTGAACTCTCCTGAGCCTGCTGCCTGACCGCTGTTGCTGCTTCAAGAATTGGCTCCTCGACTTCCTCGTCTACCTGCCTGCTGCCCAGTGCCGGCCACGCTGCTGCTCCCCGTCTTCTGCTGCGTTCTGCCCAGGACCTTCAAACGCCGTGCAACGGGACGCTGCTGGATCCTGCTGGTGACTATCCCCGCTTTACGCAACTCCTGCTTCTTTTCCATCTTTTCTATCGCCCTCCTTCCCTTCCCCGTCTCCCTGATTAGGTCTTAGTAATAAACTGGATGCAACAACATATGAACCGTTGTTTCTTAATCTCACACCGGGTATACAGATATTAAAGAACCTCATCTCCCTCCTATAAATTGGAGCGAGACAAAAGGTATTTCTACATAATCACCTTGTATTGTCTAAGTACAAGCTTCCCATTTGATTACTTTTATTTCTATTTTATTTCTAATTATCTCAATATATTATCATGCTTACACCAGAACAGAACATGTTTCAGTCAAATTCTCTTTTTAAATTGTTCTTTCATTCCTTAAAGGTGCTTCACTGGTAGCCCCACTACACCAACAAAGAATAGGAAAGTGCCATAATAGTTATAATATTTAACAGTAGTTCCTTCTGAAGGACTCAGCTGACAACATCTTCAAGGAGATCTTTTGTGTCAGCACAGATCTCTCCTGCCAGAAGAAGAGTGGCCATAGAATTCAAGGCAATAGGCTAATCATCTGCACAGCCTGATGGAAGGAATGGAAAACTGGTAAGCCAAGCAAAAAGGAAAGATGGGGAAGAAATGCTGAGATACTGTAATGGATCACAGTGCAGAGGCCTTAGATAAACAGTTGTAAGCTGTCACTGAATGAAACCAGTGCAGCAAAACCACCCACATGGAATACCTGCCAGCTTCCATTTCCAATGTCACTGGTAACTTTAAAATTAAATGGATTTGCAAAACTGCCAGAACGCCAAGATGACTTGCAGGATCCACAAGCAGCTAATAAGCTGTGGTCTGCCAATGTTTGCTTGAGATCTGAGCCCATTGAAATGAGCAATGTCAAAGCTCTAATTGAATGCAGGAGTACCAGGCTTAGGCTCTGATTCAGTAGGACACTGTGCTAAGCTGAGTGAAACCAAACAGGGTTTGCAAAATGGAGGTAGTTTACAATCTTTGAAAAACATACTGGCTGCAAGTTACTCCACAAGGTGCAGACAATGAATACCTTTTCTGGTTAGTTGGGGTGTGTGTGTTGAAAGACTCCTTTGCACAGCAATCAGCTCTGACCACCTGTAACTTCTGCATGCTCCTTTGTGAAACACTGTTAGTGGTAACTGCTGAAAGGAGGACAAGACGCCCTGCTTACAGCAGGTTGGAAAGCGTGCTGAATTATACCAGAATGACAAACAGAAAGCTGTCATTTAACACTAAAACATAAACAACAAAAAAACTACTAGCTGCGTGGTCCCAGCACCTATTTCTTTGGATTTGTTTCACTTTATGGAGTCACTACGACCTGTTTCTTTTTAGCAAATTAAGTTTTAAAAAGTTTAATAGCAAAATTTTTTATTTTTCCTTTCTTATGCTCAGAATAACTGGATGCCATTCACCTAAAGCCCTAAACAAGTACACTTATTAGGTGGAATGTATCATCTGAGCTCCAGCTAAGCTGGCCTGGAATTTAAAAGCCTACATCAAAAACAGAAGGGAGAAAGAGCAAAGAGAAAAGTTATAGCCGTGGATGTCCAGGAAGTGCATTCAATGTCACACCCATCCCTGTAGTTCCTTCTTTAACAGTTCCTTCTCAGACACAGCAGCCAGATGAGCAAGTGAGGTCTGTTATATGCAGCTCTACAGTTAAAACATGCTACTACATGATTCTTTGATTTTTTTTTTTTAATGGAATAACAAAATACAATGACTACAAAAAACAACAACAAAAACCAAACAACCCACAAACAAACAAAAAAAGAACCCAAACAAACTGTTCTTGTAAAAGTGTTACGTGAGCTGTAATTTATGTTGCTGTTTCATCATGTTTGATGATATTATTATCATGAGAAATAGCATAAAGTTGACTTTTATAGTGCAGACTTTTCAGATTGTTAGAGCCAAAGGAAACACGCTCATATATGACATATGTTTATGTATATGACATGTATGGCTATGTTACTGTGTAAATACCAAAAGAGGCCCTCTAATATCAGCATGGCTGCACAGCAGTAAGACAAGGAAAGAAAGAGAAAGATGGCACCTCTTATTCCTTATGAATTTCAGCACTCTATACCAAAATTAGACCTGTGTGTTAACCCGAAGCAGCCTTTAAATGCTGGACAAATCAGCTGATGGTTGTCTTGGGCAAGAAATGGCGCTCTGCATCATCTATCCGGTTTGTAGTTAATATCTTGCGAACGTTAGCAGGCAATCTAACGAGACAATGTATCCACAGCCAGCGCGCGCTGCTGGGATGCGGCGCGCCGAGCGCTGCGGCTGATGGCTCGCTGCAATCCGCCCGGCACACTGTAAACTAAAGACGGGAAAACCGACTTGACCATCAGCAGAACGACCGGCCCGCGGCTGATGGACGCGTTTATTACGCAACTTGGCAGACTCCTGAAATCCGCTTCGCTTCTGTCTTTCCCTCCTTAAAGGGAGCACCATGAGGAGCCAGCCGTG